CTGGCTTCAGACCAGTCCAGCTCTGGCCATTGGGGTCATTTGGGAAGATGCCCAGAAAATGGAAGATCTTTCTCTTTGCCTCTCCCTCTGTCTATCCGTAACTACCTCTCAAATAAATAAAAAAAAAAAAAAAACTCAACTTCCTCCTCCATTTAGGCTTTGTGTCTGTGAAGTGGTTTAGGTCTCAGAACTCTGTGAAAAAACTTGATTCCTCCCCACAGCACCTTAAGTTCACGTTACAGATAGAATCTGTTGGCTAATATAAGTTAATTAAAACAATAATGGGATGCTTTAATGGTTTGAGTGGCGGCCCATAAACATATGTGTCCATGTCATATCTTCACCCTAGGAATATGATCTTATTCTAGACAAAGGGTCTTTGTATATGTAGCTAAACTGAAGATCTTGAGATAAGAACACACCAGATTAGCCAGATGAGCACTAAATTTAATGACAAGTGTCCTTAGAAGAAAAGAGATAGGCATCTGAGGAGGAGAAGGTAGCATGACCACAGAGGCAGAGATCAGTTGGGGCAAGGCAGCCAAAGAAGCCAAGGAATGCTGAAAGTCATGAGAAGCTAGAAGAGGATTTTCCCATGATTCAGAAGCAGTGCAGCTCTGCCAACATCTGAATTTTAGATTTCTGCTTCTAGTTTTATGAGAACATGTGTTTCTGTTATGTAAGTCACACAGTTTGTGGCAATTTGTTATGATAGCCCCACAAAATTAATACAGCTGTCCATTCCATTCCTGTGGTTCTGATTATCAATAAACTATTGTTTTAAGCCTCTGCAGGGTCAAACCACACTGCCCTTCAGTGCTTTATTAAAAGATTTTTATCTTTTTTTTTTTTTTTTTTTTTTTGACAGGCAGAGTGGACAGTGAGAGAGAGAGACAGAGAGAAAGGTCTTCCTTTGCCGCTGGTTCACCCTCCAATGGCCGCCGCTGCAGCCGGCGCACCGCGCTGATCCTGGCAGGAGCCAGGAGCCAGGTGCTTTTCCTGGTCTCCCATGGGGTGCAGGGCCCAAGCACCTGGGCCATCCTCCACTGCACTCCCTGGCCATAGCAGAGAGCTGGCCTGGAAGAGGGGCAACCGGGACAGAATCCGGCGCCCCAACCGGGACTAGAACCCGGTGTGCCGGCGCCGCAAGGTGGAGGATTAGCCTATTGAGCCACGGCGCCGGCTCAAGATTTTTATCTTGATAAGAACACTTGAGATCTACTCTCAACCTATTTTAAGTGTACCGTATCATATTATTATCTGCAGGCCCAGCACTATATAGCAGAAAAATGGAACTCATTCATCTTGTATAAATTTTATACCCACTGATTAGCAAAAGTGAAGCATCTTAAAACTAGCTACAAAAGAAAGATGTCATCATCCACAAGCTAAAGGAAGAAAACAAAAGAATAGTGCCAGAATTCACAGAAAGTTGTAGTGTAGGAGGAATGATCACCCAGTGTAGCCACTGATAACAGAGCAAACAGCAGTTGGAACAACCTACCTGAATAAATATTCTAACCTCTTTCTTTCAGCTCTCAAATTTCCTTGTCACTCCTCTCAACTCTACTCCACAAGGCTTCCATGCTTATGAATTAATGCTAGAGTCAGCATTAATGCATCAATGAGAGAATCTTTAAACAATTTAAATCTTTTATTTGCTTGTCCCTGGCTATTTCCCCCTTGCTGTCCGACTATTCAGCCCTCCATATTGTCTTCACTCATTATTCTCTGAGGGGTTCTCCTGAATCTTCTGGTGAAAATGTGGTCATTTTCATTCCAGTATAAACCTGCATTTGTCTTTATTAAATTGTTGATGGTTTATTATTGATTAGTCTCATCTGTAATTTGTTGCTTAGAAAGTTTCCAAAACTTTTTCTTTGCCTTATTGCATTCGGATCTGGCTGAAGAGCCCATGAGAGTATTTTAGGCATGGAAAGCCAAGACACTCTGGCAAAAAAAAAAAAAAAAAAAAAAAAAAAAAAAAAAAAAAAAAAGAAAGAAAGATCTCTGCAAGTGAGATCCCAGTGGAAAGAACGGGCCATCAAAGAAGGAGGTAACTTTCTCTGAAGGGAGGAGAGAACTTCCACTTTGACTAAGACCCTGTCGGAATAAGATCGAAGTCAGCGAACTCAAAAGGCTTCCATAGCCTTGGCAACTCATGACTAGAGCCTAGGGAGATTATTGACGCCATAAACAAGAGTGTCAAATTGTTAAGTTAACAACAGGAGTCATTGTGTACTTACTTCTCATGTGGGATCTGTCTTTAATGTGTTGTCCAATGTGAAGTAATGCTATAACTAGTACTAAAACAGTATTTTACACTTTGTGTTTCTGTGTGGGTGCAAACTGATGAAATCTTTACTTAATATATACTAAATCGATCTTCTGTATATAAAGATAATTGAAAATGAATCGATGTGAATGGAATGGGAGAGGGAGCGGGATATGGGAGGGGTGTGAGTGGGAGGGAAGTTATGGGGGAGAAAGCCATTGTAATCCATAAACTGTACTTTGGAAATTTATATTTACTAAATAAAAGTTAAAAAAATTTTGCTTTGTCTATGAAACCTTGAAAATAGAAGCTTCAGTGTACTTTCCTTCTTGATGTTTGGTTCCTTAAGAACAACTGTCACATATTATGCTTTTGTTAATACAGAAAAACTGTAGACATCTTGGAAAATATGCGGCTAAAATGTTGTCAAATATTTATAGAGAGCAAATACTTAGATTAGATATCTCAAAAACATTGAGACAACATTCTCATAACTGCTGAATGGAATTAACAGAAAAATTCTATACTTATATGGCATTCAAATATATATGTAACGTTATAATTTTATAGATATATATATTTGCCATTTAAATATAATATATAATTATATATAAAATTGCATTGGATGTGTTACTGAAATATTGCTATTTGAGTTATTTTCACTTATTGGGGGGAGGTCAGCATACTTTCTATGCAGCCCTCCAGCTCTTCTCTTCCCTTTATTTACCCTGCTTATTGCCATGTAGCCATTTGTATTATGTCATCTGATTCCTACAGTTCCAGTTTCCCATATGGGACCTGCCAATGGAAAACCTAAGCAGGAGAATAGAAGTGCAAAATCAGGTCTTGGTTTCACTGCTTCATGAGATCTCATAGGACTGGCTGTTCCTTGATAACTGGTAACTGAGCTCCTCAATCATCTTTGTGACATTCTTTTTCTGGTTCTAAGACTTCTCCCTCCCCAAGTTCATTTAAGATTAAGGGTAGAGTCTGTCTGATAGAGGCCCATGTTCCTCAATCATTGCTTTAGCTGTCCATACCTTATAAAAGTATCTTTTATAAATAAACTCTCCTTGAATTATGATACTTTGAGTGTCCCATCTATTTTTTGTCAAGACTGATACAACATTGCTCATCATTGTAGGTCTCTGACATATACAACAGATGAGTTACTTCAAAAAGTTCATGAAAAATAAAGTTATAAGATAAATTTACTGCAGAGCAAAAATATCTTAAAATCCATGTATATATGGCTGGTGCCGCGGCTCACTAGGCTAATCCTCCGCCTTGCGGCGCCAGCACACCGGGTTCTAGTCCCGGTCGGGGCACCGGATTCTGTCCCGGTTGCCCCCTTCCAGGGCCAGCTCTTCTGCTGTTGGGCCAGGGAATGCAGTGGGAGGGATGGCCCAAGTCCTTGGGCCCTGCACCCCATGGCAGACCAGGAGAAGCACCTGGCTCCTGCCTTCGGATCAGCGCGGTGCGCCAGCCGCAGCGTGCCGGCCGCGGCGGCCATTGGAGAGTGAACCAATGGCAAAGGAAGACCTTTCTCTCTGTCTCTCTCTCTCACTGTCCACTCTGCCTGTCAAAAAAAACCAACCAAACAAACAAACAAAATCCATGTATATGAGGAGTCTTCAAAAAGATTATGGAAAAATGCATACTATGAAAAATGTATGAATTTCAAAAACAATTTTTCACAGAAATACACATTTTAAATTCCATTTTCCATTAACTTTTTGAAGTTCCGTTGTGTGGTCAAAATTTATTGGAAGAGGCAGTTATTATAGTTTATTTAACTCATTCATTCTTCCTACACTGTTTTATTATTGGCGTTTCACTAAATTGCATCATATGGGAGTTGCTAACTACAGAAAACTTGTTTGGAGCAGAAAAATGGTACTTAACAAAAATGCAAATTTTTGTTTGGTGATTTTTTTTTTTTGACAGGCAGAGTTAGACAGTGAGAGAGACAGTGAGAGAGAGAGAGAGAGAGACCGAGAAAGGTCTTTCTTCCATTGGTTCACTCCCCAAATGGCTGCTACGGCCAGAGCGCTGTGCCGATGTGAAGCCAGGAGCCAGGTGCTTCTTCCTGGTCTCCCACGTGGGTGCAGGCACCCAAGCATTTGGGCCATCCTCCACTGCTTTCCTGGGCCACAGCAGAGTGCTGGACTGGAAGAGGAGCAACCGGGACTAGAACCCCGCGCCCATATGGGATGCCAGCGCCACAGGCAGAGGATTAGCCAAGTGAGCCATGGCGCTGGCCCGTTTGGTGATTCTTTTATTGGGATTCTGAGAAGGATGGAAGGTGAAAGTAGAGAATAAAAGGCAAAGATTCAATTATTAATGCTGAAATATTAAATCTCTTATCCTACTTACAAAAATTTTTAAAAAAGAGGATTCTGCAACGTTTTCTTTCACCCACGTACTAACTACTCTCCTATAACTTTATTTTATCTAAAGTAGATTACACTTTGATTAAAAATTAAGATTATGTTTAGCTGTTGCATTTTAACTACAATATACTTGAATGTTACTAAAAATTTAATGTGAAAATATGTAATAATACAATGTTCTCTTTACTTTTAAATATGAATTTTAGGAACAAAGTTGCATTCCAGTTTAATACTAATTGCCTAACAACAAAACATTTACACACTGTTACTTCCTCTTCATACAAACTTACAATATTTTGAAAAACAAATAATTAAAATAGATAAAAAGATAAAATTCCATTTTCATATTGTATGATCTCTATATTACTGTATTTGCAATGGGCAAAAATGCTGATCATCAGACAAATATTCATGGTCTTCTAAAGATAAGGCCTTTGGATTTCTATAATCTTGGGTGCAGTATCTGGATGATATCTCTTTCTGATCTCATCTATTTCAGCATCATCAAGAATAAACGCAGCAAGTGCTGGAATCTGAGAAAAATAGTTCTTAGCCAGGATATGTTTGTGTTTGATCATGTGAATGAACAAGGGTCCATATCCCTGAAAAGAAAAAAAAAAAAAGATCAAGTTCTATTGAATATATCACAGATTGTGCTAGGTATCTAAGTTTTACAGATACATTTTGTCAGATCTCAGTGCCTCTGCTTATTAGTTCTTTCTGACCAGAATACATTTTGTTCTCACTTTCTCTATTGTCTTTCAAAGTCAAGCTCTTAGGAAGTTTTAGCTGGAAACCCTTCCCTGACTCCCCTTTTAATCCTATACCAATGTTAATTACTCCTTTTTTTTTTTTTTTTGACAGGCAGAGTGGACAGTGAGAGAGAGAGACAGAAAGGAAGGTCTTCCTTTGCCATTGGTTCACCCTCCAATGGCCACCACGGCCGGCATGCTGCAGCCAGTGCACCGCGCTGATCCGAAGGCAGGAGCCAGGTGCTTCTCCTGGTCTCCCATGCGGGTGCAGGGCCCAAGGACTTGGGCCATCCTCCACTGCCTTCCCGGGCCACAGCAGAGAGCTGGCCTGGAAGAGGGGCAACCGGGACAGAATCCGGCGCCCCGACCGAGACTAGAACCCGGTGTGCCGGCACCGCAAGGCGGAGGATTAGCCTATTGAGCCACAGTGCCGGCCGCTAATTACTCCTAATAGTCAGTGTCCTTTTCATGTGTATTTACAGGCTTGATTTTGTATAGCTGTGATGTACCCAGCTTTCCTAACCTTTATTCTGGCTAGGAGTGGCCACGTGACAAGTTTCTGGTGTGTGTGTGTGTGTGTGTGTGTGTATTCACATGCACAAGAAAGCTTTTTAAAAGGTTTTTTTTTAAGAGCAGGAAGATTCAAGTAGGAAGCACCTTTAGCCTTCATAGATATAAGGCAGGGAAGGAAGCACCTATCTTATCACCAAGAGTCCACAAACATTAGAGTGAAAGCCAAAGGTTAAACACAGCTGAAGGAAAAGTTAGAGGCCTGAGTTTCTGAGAGCACTGTGGGGGCTGCCATATAGCCACAACTGCCAACCTCTGGAATTATTTCATAAACCACATTTGACTAAATCATTATAAATTGCCTATTCTGTATTTGCAATTGAACTCAAATGCAGCTGAAACAATGAAAACATGTTTTTTTAAATATTCTTCATTTCCCCCAGACACTTACAACATGTATTTGACACATTCAAAAGTAAATTCTTATTAAATTAATAAATACAACCTATTCTCCTTCTTAATCTTAACTGGCCCTCTTTTCAGTCATAAATACCACCTTCCTAAAATTTATTTTCTGAGAGTAAGACATTCCCTCACTAAAGATTAGAAAGTGCTAAGTTGGAGTATCCTGGTTTATTTTGAATTTTCATCTTTACAAGAAAATTTACTACACTGTAATATTCACCCTTTACATTAATTTAGCTTTGTCCCACTACTACTTAGTCCATATTTCATTCAAGGAAGATGAACACACTTCTGTTAAGGCATATTAATTTTTATATTACAGAATCTTATAGGTTTTCAAAGTGGCTTTAAAGAAAAAAGCTAAAAATAATCTATTAAAGTGAAATAAATATGGTACATGCATTAAAAGGAAAACTAAGTAACTACTAAAGAATAATGCAATATGGAAAGATCTAATATCTTCTGTTAAGTAAAGCAAATAAATCAACTTGCAAAACAATGTAATATGAAATCAGTGCTACAAAGTAGAAATACCTGCATACATATAAACAATCTTCTAGAATGACTTTAATAAACTGTGCATGACAAACATCTGTTATCCCTGGAATATGAAGATAGGGATAGAAGGATATGTGGAGATTTTTATTTTCTGTATTATATGATTTTATTCTATTAAGAATTTTTTAAATCAATAATCCATTGCTTTTGTTACAATTGAAAATAAAATGCACTGGGATGAGCATTTAGCCAAGCAGTTAAGATGCCTACATCCCATATCCAAGTAGCTGGGTTTGATACTTGGCTCTGCTTCCTGATCACTTTCTTGATAATTCAGACCCTGGGAAGCATTGGTGATGCCTCAAGTAACTAGGTTCCTTCCACTCTCCCCACACACACCTGGATTGAGTTTAGGCTGCCAGCTTTGGCCCAGCCCATTACAGGCCATTAGAAGTGTCTGAGGAGGGAATCAGCAATGGGAGCACCTCTCCCTGGGCGTGCGTGTGTGTGTGTGTGTGTGTGTGTCTAAAATAGTTTCTTAATTAAAAAATAAAATGCACCAAAAATTTTAAAGTACTTTCATATATATGCAGTCATTGCCTAAACTGATTCAATCCAAGCACTATACCAAGAGGTTTAAACAATGGTCTGTTTAATCCTCCAAGTTTCTGTGTTATGAGAAATCATTATCTCCTTTTCAAAGATGAGAAAACTGGAGCATTGAGACATTAACAAACTTGCCCAATTTCCCCATCATAAGTGAAAGAGAGTATTCAAGGCTAGGGCTCCTTTTATTCCCTTTACTGATTCCATATTTTAAAATAATCCCTCTAAAAATTTATGAAGCAAACAAATCAAGTCGTAATGTCCTGCAGGTGGTTAATGACAGAGACATGGAAGAACTGAGTCAAGATGGCAGATTTTGCGTCCATGACTGTTCCTATTCTTCCAATGTGCACTCTGTAAGAGGTGGATCTGTCTTAAGATTCCCAGAGCAGAAATCCGTTCTCATGGCCTTCCTATACACTGCATCATGATTAAGGAAGTCAGATTACTTTAAGTATTTTTGAGTATTTTTTGTATTTGAGTATTTTAATTACTTTTTACTCACTGAGAAAGTATGTATCTCTGTGTACTGAGCAAATTCTAAAACTGTTTTAACCTCTTGGAAAATATACACTATTTTTTAACTAGACTGAATATTAATACGTAAAAGGTTAGACCAGCCCCAGACCATAAGAATGGCAAATGTTTTTTGAGTTCGTCTGGTTGAGAACTTAGATCCATTTAAGACAGAAGTTCTGAAATTAGAAATGCATGTGAATAGAACATTTAATTTGATACTGAAGTAATTTGATTAAATACACAAAGGGAATTGTGTGGATTTAATTGGAACAGCACTGGAATGAACAGCACTTTGGGAATGAACTTCAATCTCAATGCGGGTCTTAGATGAAATGATATTGCCAGTATTGGCTTTGCTTTCAGTAATTAAATATTTATAAGGCAGCTTAGCTTACTAAATATAACATTTAACACAACTTCAAATTCTTGCTGCCCTTTCTTTCAATCTGTAGAGAGAATCAGTTCCTAGCCTGGCTTCTTAAAACCAAAAAACTACTGGAAAAAATAGCTAAAAATTTAATTCTTAGCTTTTTCTCTTCATATCTCCCAACACCTCCCTCACAGAAGAACAAAACAGGCAAGGAATAGCACTAATAAAATGACTATTACATTTAACGTCATTTCTTTGTTTTCTCTTAGCTAACATCCTGCATAGAATTAAAGGTAAATCAATTTAATTAATAGAAGGGAGAGAATTAGTAACAGTTCTTGGAATCTTGGGCTGACTTAGTGTAAATGGAGCTAAGAACTCACTAAGGGCCCCTCAATTGTGTTCATAAAAGTGTTTTATAGCCTGCATCTTGTAAGTTACTGAAATTAAATGGTATTTAATTTTTTCAGTCCTTTCTCCACTCCTACTTAGTTGGACAAAAACAAAAAAGGCATTCTCATCAATATGGTTGCCAAATAGAATTCAAAATTATGAACCAGATTTACTTGAGAATTGAGTGTGCCTTTAGGCAAATTTGTGATGATTACGCCAAGAAGGAAAGATGTTGGGTTCTATAAAACCTACCTCACACTACTACTCACATATTTATTACAAAAATACTTACTAAACCCCTACACAGTGACTGGCACTACTGTAGTATTAAAAATATAGATGTAAATAAATTAAACAGAATCCCTAGGGCTGGCACTGTGGCACAGCAGGTTAACACTCTGGCCTGAAGCGCCGGCATCCCATAAGGGCGCTGGTTTGAAACCTGGCTGCTCCACTTCTCATCCAGCTCTCTGTTATGCCCTGGGAGAACGGTGGAGGATGGTCCAAGTCCTTGGGGCCCTGCACCCATGTGGGAGACCCAGAAGAAGTTCCTGGCTCCTGGCTTCAGATCGGCACAGTTCCGGCAGTTGCAGCCAATTGGGGAGTGAACAAACAGATGGAAGACCTCTCTCTGCCTCTCCTTCTCTGTCTGTGTAACTTGGACTTTCAAATAAATAAATAAATCTTAAAAAAAAAAAAAAAACACAGAATCCCTGCCTTCATGGAAATTTCTATAGAATTAATTGTACTTGAACTTGCTATCAGGAGGGAGAGGGATCCTGAGAGGATCTTTACCTTTTATTTGTCTTAGTTCCCTTTTAATGTTAATCTCTGCCATGCATACCATTAACACATTTTGTTACTGTTTATCCATGAGTTCTGTTTCTTAATCACATGGAAATATTTCAATTATGCATGGAATGCACTTTAAAACAGTCAAATTAGCTCTAATCACCATATTGATTGAATTAAATTCTCATAGACACTTTGCCTTTCTTACCTGTACAACACTACTTAGCTTGAGATGAGCGGCTGCTTCATCTTTGGTAAGAAGAATGCAGTTCCAGGGGGACCACTCCAAGGACTTATCCCATCTGACCATGACCAAATCATTGAGATCATCCCAATCACTGAGTACTGACTGCGATGCCCAAATGTTCTCTGTCAGGTACTGAATATCCTGTAGCTGCATGTCAAAATAAGTTTGAAAATATTAGTTTTCTTCCAGAAATACTTTTTTAAAATTACTATGTTAATTGAGGGAATATTTAAATTATATTGAATATGTTATTTTAAATTTTATTCAAAGTATTCAAATTTCATGTATTTCCTACATATAGATTCAGAAGCATAGTGAAATTTCCCACCCTGCCCTCTTTCCTGCCCATGCTCCCAGCCTTCTTCCTCCTCCCTCTCTTATTCACATTCTTATTTTTTACAATGATTTACGTTCGGTTAACTTTATGCTCATAACATTAACCCTAACTAAGTAAAGAGTTCAACAAATAGAATGAAGAGAAAAAAACACTTGTCTTCAGCAGCGGAGACAGGGGCTGTAAGCAATCATTAAATCTCAAAATGTTCATTTCACTCCAATAGATTACCTTTTAGATTCTCTATTAGTTATCACAGATCAGGGAGAACATATGGTATTTGTCTTTTTGGAACTGGCTTATTTCATCAAGTACAATGGTCTCCAGTTTCACCCATTTTATTGAAAATGACAGGATTTCTTTTTCTTTCTTATTTTTACTGCTGTGTAGTATGCCAAAGTGTATATATATATCATTATTTCTTTATCCAGTCTTCAGTTGATGGACATATGGGTTGAGTCCATATCTTAGCTATTGGGAATCAAGATGCAATAAACATGGGAGTACATATAACTCTTTCATATGCTGATTTCATTTCATTTGGGAATAGGATAGTTGGATCACATGGTAGGTCTATATCCAGATTTCTAAAGTATCACCATACTGTATTCCACAGTGACTGCACCAGTTTTACATTCTCACCAACAGTGGATTATGGTACCTTTTTCCCCACATCCTCACCAGCATTTGTCCTTTGTTGATTTCTGTAAGAGAGCCAGTCTACAACTGGGGTGAGGTTAAATCTCATTGAAGTTTTCATTTTCATTTCCCTGATGCCTAGTGATCCTGAGAATTTTTTTCATATATCTATTGGCCATCTGAATTTCCTTTCTTTAGAAATATCTCTTCAAGTCTTTGCCCTTTCTTTGTAGGATTGTTTTGTTTTTAGGTATCTTGGTCTCTTTATGGATTCTAGATGTTAAACCATTATCAGCTGTGCAGTTTGCAAATATTTTCTCCCATTGGGTCGGTTGCCTCTTCATTTGCTAAGTGTTTCTTTTGCAGTGCAATAGCTTCTCAGATTGATGTAGTCCCATTTGTCTCCTTTTGGCTTTGATGGCCTGTGCTTCTGGGTTCTTTCCACTGCCTACATCTTGCAGAGTTTCCCCAGTGTTCTCTACTGATCTGATGGTATCAGGTCATAGATTTAGGTCCTTGATCCATTTTGAGTGGATTTTCTTGTAAGTGTAAGGGAGGGGTCTTGTTTCATACTTCTGCACTTGTGAATTCAGTTTTCCCAGCAACATTTATTGAAGAGATGGTCCTTGCTCCAAGGATTGATTTTAGTTCTGTGGGGAGCAACTGGGAGCAACTCGGACTAGACTAAGTTACTGGAATTAAGACTTATTCTATGCATCTGCTCTCCCACAATATGGCACTGGGAGAGGAGGAAACAGCTTCTATACAGCTGCCTCCAGTTCAACCAATAAACTGTAGGACCTGCTCCTGATTGGAGGAGAGCAGCGTACTCGGCGTGTGGGTAGCAGAGTTGGGATTGGCGGAAGAGGACTATAAAGGAGGAGAGAGACAACATGCACCAGGAACATCTGAAGGAACACCTGAGCAGCCCCCGAAAGAGCCGGCTGGCGGTGTGCCGCTCCCCTGCGGAAGTGGGGAAAGTGGCAGGGGGCCCGCCCCTCCATGGAGGTGGAGGGACGGTAGCCAACCCGGGAGGAACCAGCAGCAAACCCGGGGAGGGCCGAGCAGACGAAAGAACAACGCAGGGTCCTGTGTCGTTCCTCCACGAAGACGGGGAGCGACAAGTTCCTTTATAAAGTTTATTTTAGATGCATGGTTTGAGTACTGAAGTTTCAATTCTGTTCCCTTGGTTTACACGTCAAATTTTGTGCCAGTTATAATTAAAACTGCCCTGTAGTATGTCTTGAAATTTGGTATTGTGATGTCTCTGGCTTTGTTTCTGTTGTATAAGATTGCTTCAGCTATTTAGGGTCCCCTATATTTCCCTATGAATTTTAGCATCGGTTTTTCTAGATCTGATAAGAATGTCATTGGAATTTTGATTGAGTTCAAGTTGAAACGGTATATTGCTTTTGGTAGTATGGACATTTTGATGATACTGATTTTTCCAATCCATGAACATGGAAGACTTTTTTCATTTTTTTCTGTCTTCTTGTGTTTCTTTCTTTAATGTTTTATAATTTTCATCATAGAGATATTTGATATCCTTGGTTAAATTTATTCCAAGTTATTTAATTTTTTTATCTATTGTGAATGAGATTGATCTTAGAAGTTCTTTCTCGGGCCCAGTGCTGTGGCGTGGCAGATAAAGCCACTGCCTGCAATACCAGCATCCCATATGGGTGCCAGTTTGAGTTCTGGCTGCTTCTCTTCCAATCCAGCTCTCTACTATGACCTGGGAAAGCAGTAGAAGATGGCAAGTCGTTGGGCCTCTGCACCTACATGGAACACCTGGAAGAAGCTCAAGGATCTTGGCTTAAGAAAGTCCCAGTTCTGGCAATTGTGGATGTGTGGGGAATGAATCAGTGGATGGAAGACTTCTCTCTCTCTCTCTCTCTCTCTCTCTCTCTCTCTCTCTCTGTGTGTGTGTGTGTGTGTGTGTGTGAGCCTTGCCTCTGTCTCTCTGTAACTCTGTCTTTCAAACAAATAAATAAATTCTTTAAAAAGAATTTCTCAGTCACAGAATTGTGTATATACAAATCTATTTATTTTTATGGGTTACTTTTATATCCTGCCATTTTACCAAACTCGTTATGAATTCCAATAGTCTCTTTTTTTTTTTTGAGCACCAGACTTTATTTTTATATCATAAGCCACACAATGATTTTTTTCTTCTTACAATGAAAAGCCTGTTGTCCATGTTTTCTAATTACAATTTTTTTGATTTTCAAGGGCATACTCAGAGCATGGGTTACAATCACAGATAGGTGCAAGATACCAGGCTGCCCACACAAGCCAAGGTCTCGAGTGCTGCTGAACTATGCAGAAATTGGCTACATAAGCTAGAATAGTACCTTCCTAATCTAATCTTTACTAGAAGCCCCAAGTTCAAAGCAGACTCTTTTTAAAATGTATCCCCTCTTTGCAATTTTTTCTGTAATTATTTAATTTCTTTATTGCATTTATTTAAAGGTTTACTTGGATATATTCTACAGTTTTGACATCCTAACCATTGTAGTATTTGTAGCATATAGTGAATTAAAGCTTTATTAACATCTATCTTTATTCTAGTGGGAAGTATATACCAGAGAGCCTGTTGCCTTTTAATTCTTTTCTACAAACAGCTCAACCTTGCATAAGGCATTAACCCTTTCTTCTACACTAACATTCTGCTTGATTAAAATTCTACAAGGCAATGGACATTTTGGAGGTTATGAGACTAAGTGCTCTTCCAAAAAATTAGGAAGACAGCAATCATTAGCAGGACCACCAGGAAGCTCCGGCTTGCTTATGCAGAGTGTAGTTCCCAACTAACCTAAAGCCACCAAGAGGGCCGCAGCTGTCCTTCTCACACCTTGCTGAGACAGACCTTCTGCTATGACCTTGTCAGCCAGCCGAAGTTGCTGTATCAGGGGATACAGTTTTTTTAAAAATATTTATTTATTTTACTTGAAACTCAGGGTTATATGAGAGAGGAGTGAGGAGAGGCAGACAGAGAGAGAAGTCTTCCATCCGCTGATTCACTCCCCCAATTGGCCGCAATGGCCGGAGCTGCACCCATCTGAAGCCAGGAGCCAGGAGCTTCCTCGGGGTCTCCCACGTGGGTGCAGGGGTCCAAGGACTTGGGCCATCCTCTACTGCTTTTCCAGGCCACAGCAGAGAGCTGGATTAGAAGAGCAGCAGCTGGGACTTGAACTGGCGCTCATGTGGGATGCCAGCTCTGCAGGCAGTGGCTTTACCTGCTACACCACAGTGCCAGCCCCAGGATACGGGTTTTGTAAAACCCTATAGGTGCTTTCTAAAATACAGTATGCAATGACTATAACGAGCTCTCCTTGTCAGTTGCTGAGTTTTATCTTTTTAACTACAGCAATTTTAAGTCTCTTTCATCCACAGTTCTGACAATTACCTAAAAAATTTGCAATCAGATTCTTGGAGAAGACTCTAACAAATATCCCCAAATATGGGTTTCTGGCAGCTTTAAGTTCAATAGACTAGCTTAGAATTTCCATAACTCTGATTTTTAAAAATGCTAAATTCATAAAATTGCTAATGGAAACACTTAGCAAGAATTAGTTACAAGACTGAATTAATGAAATTTGTGAATTTCTTTTATTAAAATATTGATTTTGGTACTGAAATGCTTCACCTTTTAGTTTCAGGGAAAAAATTTTCCTGAGATGTCTATGATTTACAATGCTTTGGCAAAGGTATACTCTTGTAAAAAAGATGGAAAGATTTACCTTTTCCCTCTTAATTTCTCCAAATTTAAAAACTCCTGATAAGTATTTTTTTTAAGATTTATTTTATTCATTTGAAAAACACAGTCACAGAGAGAGGCAGAGACAGAGAGAGTTCTTCCATCCACTGGCTCACACCCCAAACGACCACAACGGCCAGAACCAAGCCTATCTGAAGCCAGGAGCCAGGAGCCTCCCCCGGGTCTCCCATGTGGGCGGCAGGGACCCAAGGACCCAGGCCATCCTCTACTGCTCTCCCAGGCCACAGCAAAGAGCCGGCTCGGAAGTGGAGCAGCCGATCTTGAACTGGCACCCATTTGGTATACAGGCAGTGCAGGCCGGGGCTTTAACCCACTGCGCCACTTCGCCAGCCCCATTTTTACTTTTCATGGCATGGTGGTTGTTTTCAGGAGTTCAGTAAGGGGCCAGTGCTC